CAAGAATAGCTTGGTGTGTTTGAAAGATCTTCTAAATGTTATTTATATAGATATCTTGTCGATACTTTTAATAATCAATTCTATTTAGTAAAGCCTTTAATTTATATTACCAAACAAATGTTGAGTCAGTATCGCATGCAGGCGCATTCCCTTGCCTTTATAATTGGGTCAAAATGATAAAATGAAACACATACACGAAGCAATATTACTACCGATGCCGCAGTGTGAATAAATTAAATGAATTAGTGTCATATAATTAATTTTTCTTTGTTTTCATACCAAATAGTCTTATCTGATTGGTCGAAAACTTTATTTCATTGCTTAAGTAAAAGTACCAAAACGTTACATAGATTAGTTATTTATTTACGGTATGCTACCGCCAAAAGAACAACCCTTGTGCAGTAATATTGCTGAAGTATGTAGTCATTTGTGTGATAAATGCTAATATGGAATTGTCCTCCGTCATCCTGAATTATGTTTTGTGTACTATGTATACATTAACCTATATGCTGTATTGCATTCGGGATAAAAAAATAAAAAAAACTTGAAACTTGATGCAGTATTATTTAGACCATGGAATTCGATGCAGTTTAGATTTCAGCGATAAAACATCTGCGCAAGAACATTGTACTATACAAATTCATGTAATGTGACGTTGTGTAATAATAAAAAAAAATGTGTTGAAATTCCTCTCCAACCACATGTGATTTAAAAAATAAATGTGCAAATGCTATTTCACGTAGTAAATATGTCAAACTGATTAAAATACAGCCCCTCTCTACTATGGTATTTTCATACGGTTTTGTTGGTTGATTTTTGTTTTAACTCTTTTTTTCTGTTTTATTTTTATTTATTCACTCCGACACACTTACGTGTGTAACAAGAGGTCACATACATATAGTAAGTATGATACATGGCGTGTGATGTACACAATTACATAGATACATATAGAAGTACACAAATAGTACAGAAATTAAGTTAATATTTTTTCAAGCTTTTCTATGAATTTACAAAGTTTTGTGTGAATTTTTACATTAAATATATTAAACAATCCTTGCATTTTTAATTGACTTGGATAAGTGAAATAATATTTTGGTATATATTTCTCTCTTAGACATTTAACTAAAACACTTTCACATATAAATAAGTAATGAAATTCATCTCCAATGTACAAATTACATAATGTACAGGTTCTTTCTTGACGAGGAATACCTAACCATCTTCCTTTTTCTATGGGTAAATGCATATTGCAAGAACGGAATTTACACATTATTTTCCTATCATTTGTATTAAGTTTAATTAAATATTTTTCTTGTTCAAACTTTGTCTTTAATATTGAATATGTTTGTCCTCTAGAGGAGTTAAGAATATTATCAAACCATTTCTGTATAAATTGATCCTTCAGTCTACTTTTCACAAGCCTCTTAATTTCGTCTTTTGAAAAAGAACATGTAGATTGATAGTACCACACATAGTTCAGGCCAGTTTGAGAAAAAATATCTTTAACATATGCGAGCCATTTAAATAACATAGTTCCATTTTCATGTAATGTATACATAAGCTTATAAATAGTACTTGATAACTTACTAGAGGTAATCAACTTATGCCAGAATACTATTATTCTACATTTAATTTCGATGTCTAGTGGGTATCTTCCAAGCTCACCATAAACAATGAAATTTGGTGTACTTTTTCTTACATTTAGTATATATTTACAAAATTGAAGATGGATTTTTTCTATAATATTTGTGTTTTCAAAACCCCATATTTCTGATGAATACAGAAGAACTGGCATAATTAATGAATCAAATATCTTCAATTGTAGATCAACTGGTAAAGATATGTTTCTCAATTTCTTATAGACAGCAAACACTGATTTCTGTGCTTGTTCAACAATTTTTTTCCTTGCTTTAAAGAAGCTACAACTAAAATTAAAGAATAATCCTAGATAGGTATACCCTTCCAGTATTTCTAATTCTACGTTACATAATGTAAAATGGGGAGTTCTTGCACATTTTCTTTTTGAAAAGATGACAATTTTAGTTTTTCCTGAATTGATAGTTAACTTCCAAGTATTACAGTATTGTTCAAATTCATTTAAAGCTAACTGTAAACCATCTGGTGTTTCTGAAAACAGGACAGTATCATCGGCATATAAGATAATGAATAGTTTGAGATACACTCCAATGTTATCAATACATAATTTGTCTATTGTTTGAAGACAATTTACATTTTTTTCAACAAGATAAGTTTCTAAATCATTTAAATAAATTGCAAACAAAAATGGCGATAAATTTTCGCCCTGTTTTAAACCGATCTCACAATTGAACAAATCCGACTGTTCACATCCATTTTTAACACATGATTTGGTTTTATCATATAGCTTATAAATAATATTGAAAATTTTTCCAGTAATGTTGCTTTTTTGGAGCTTTTTCCACAGACCAACTCTCCATACAGAATCGAACGCCTTACTAAAATCGATGAACGTACAATAAAGTTTTTTTCCTAATGAAAAATATATTGAGATTAAAGAATACAATACAAACATGTTATCGGTTGTAGAATGACCCTTTCTAAACCCAGCTTGTGCACTGCTTATCAGGTCAAATTCGTCAGAAATTTTATTTAAACGATTATTAATAACCGAAGTGAAAACTTTGCCAAGGCACGAGACTAAAGTGATCGCTCTATAATTATCCGGATCTTTTGGATCGCCTTTGTTTTTATATACTGGTTTTATAATACCGATCTTCCACACATCTGGTATAGACGCAGTATTCAGAATAAGGTTAAATATTTTTTGATAAATTGGTAAAAATACATCCATTGTACTTTTTAGATATTCATTTAGGATTTGATCTATACCAGAGGCTTTACTATTCTTCAAATTGATTAAAGAAAATTTAATTTCATCAGTGGTAATTTCACCATTCAGATAATCATCAAAAATACTATTATCAGGATTTTCCAGCTCAAAATCGTCATCATCATAAATAGACTTATTCAGATCCTTAAAGTATTCATATAATTCAGTAATACATATATCAGCATTACCTTTCTTTACAGATCCGTCACATTTATTCAAAATATTCCAGAATTAACTAAAGTTGACTTTGGTAGTGCTGAAAATATATTCAAGACAGCTGTTTAGATTCGATGATGTTTATTTGGTGTCCAAGCTCTGAATGAGGTTGGACCAGGTAAATCTAAACAGGCTGTCCGAAGTAATCTTCATTCTGATTGGTTAATTAGATGTCCATCTACTCACTGATTTGATAGTTGGTACTCTGACTTTAGCGTGGGGTGCGGACAATAAAAATCTATTTTGTGAAACGTGTCAGGATATGTTTACGTAATACTGATGTCACTAATAAATTGATATAGGCTAGAGTGATGAAAGATGGCGTATTCTCGAATGTAGTTCTGGGTCCGGCAAGGCGATAATCTTTCCCCGTTTTTATTTTCATTTTTTCTTAATGATTTAGAAGATTTTATGAAATCACGTGACTGTAAAGGTCTATGTAATATAAACGACCAGTAAGAGGAGGATTTACATGTATATATGAAGCTTTATGTTATGCTAAACGCTGATTACACTATATTACTATCAGACACGGTAGAGGATTTGCAACGTATGGCATCTTAAAGTCAATATCAGCAAAACTAAAATTGGTAGAAAAAGAATTCCTGATGGCCTTAATTTTATATACAACGGTACTGTTATAGGAATAGCTAAGGATTTTAAATATCTTGGGGTTTATTTTACTAAAAAAATGGTTTGACACAGTTCAATATTAAACAACTGTATGGTAAAGGTTTAAAAGCAATGTATGGTGCTATTTCCAAATGTAGGGATCACAATTTGTCAATAGATTGTCAACTTGATATATTTGACAAAGCCATCAAACCTATTGTATTATATGGATGTGAAGTTTGGGGTTTCTGCTAAAATCAACAGTTCTAAAGCAAATGATAACAGTTTTATTTCCATTTTTTTTTTTAAATAACTGTTTATAAGGTTCCGGTTGATGTTCATATTTAAAAATAATTAGTGCATTTTGGGATAGTCATTACTTTATTTCTCCAGGATTGTAACAACAAATCATATAGTATTCTATGTTAATTCAGTTCTAATCCCCTAATATACGTCTATTCTATGTTAATTCAGTTCTAACCCCCTAATATACGTCTATTCTGTGGATTTTGCCACGTTCATGTTAACATAAGAAAATATACAACAACAAAAAATTCCTTTGTCATAAATTGTCCATGGTACAGTAAAAAGGATGTATGCAGTAAGTTATATATTTACGTACATCCGCTCTTTGTTCACCATAAGAGAGAACAACTTGGAGTAAGAACGGAGTGTAAATCAAACTTAGTATACTTTCACGAACCACGGATCTTATCTTGAACATTTTGAACACCACAGGGGCACGGATGCTTGTGGGCAATGTCGGGCCACGCAGATAACATCGAAAGGTTTCCTATCTGTCAATATGTTTATTATCTTCTCCGTATCACAAGTCCCTGTGTATAGAGGATCTCAGTCAGCGGGCAGCTGCTGTGGAAATGTTCAGACTTTAAAGTGAAGACTGCACCAAGTTACTTTGTTAACTTGCCATAGTTCTATATATATTCGAAAGCAAACATGTTTTGAACAAAATCGAGAGGAACGTTCTGGATTTAAGTAAACAATTTGAACGATTATGATGGATTTGTTTCCGTCACAAATACTAAGCCTTATTTCATGTTTAAAGTTCGTGATTGAAATGTCCTGTCTATTTGTCAGAAGATGCCTATACACACGTTGTTGGTAGCGTGTACACCAACATGAGGTCTGATACTATGTGCTACAAACATCTCGCGAGCATCTTCACGATAACACACATACAATCAGCAGCATCAGCGAACTTATAGTGAATGTGTATGGTAACGTAACTGTGAATATAGAGTGCAAGGATATACAACGTAGGACCTTACAAATGGACACTTACCTGCCGATTCTGGCTTGGTGCTTATTGACACGAGTTTGGTGATGTAAATGCCTGGGACTATATATATAGTCTCGTGAGCACGTGTAGATGAACCCCCAGTTACAGCTGGTGTGTGTACACGAGTGAGAAAATCGCCGGGTGGCAGGTAGCTATATAGGAACGCCAGTCAAAGCCTCGGCATCATCAACCGACCACTCAAACGCAGTCACGTGTCTCAGAACTCCCTCCCACTACCAGTCCAGTTAACCATGGCGTTAAATTGGTACCCTTAACAATGTGTTTGGAAATCTTGAAATCTTGTAAAATGGCTCAAAACTACTTCAGATGTACATTGTAGTAGATATAGCTTTAAACTTGTATTGTTAACCTATCTAGATATGTAATGTTTCGCCAATCGGTTATTATCATAACATTTCCAATCTTTATTGTACTCTAATATACACAACGTGTATGTCTCTCTGCCATTTCCATATATATATATATATATAGCTGCTACATATATTGCTGATACGTGATAATATCTAAAACCTTGTTTCACTTGGAAATTCCCTTTTTGATACCATAATTTCCGTGACCATTGATAAATGTCTACTTGACCAGAATAAAGACATTACTGTTACCTTAACGTATGTTCCCCCTAGCGTCTCGCAATACAATATAGTATATATACATTATAACTGTGACGTTTTTCATGAGTTACAGACAAACTTATTAGAATACTCTGAATCTAAGAATGTAATGATTAAAGGTGATTTTAATGCTCGAACACGTACAATGTACCAATATTTTCAAAAATTGTTTATAGACTCGAGACGCGCCTGTCGTGTGTAACAATGGTCAATCTTCAGTACAATCATAATGGCAGACTCAATGGCTAGATGGCTACAGTGTAAAGCAGAAATACATATACATTCATACATAACATAGCATATCACACTGTCATGTCATAACATTCATTGTACATACATGTCATAGCGAAGCAAAGCATACAATACATGTAAATACATACATACACACATAGCATGGTTAATCATAGAATAGTATAGCACTGGTGGTCTTATAACTCTACGATATCATTCATTAGAGTGTCAGAAACCACATTGAATCTAACTTTAACTACCTGGTTGGAGATGCTGATGGTAATGTATATATACCTATTAGAGTAAACTGGATTCTGGTGCAAATGAATACGGCCAATCAGTTAAGCTAGATCTACCAGATCAACATAGGAGGATACGAAGGAACCTTCATGTACATTTTTGCTCGACAGTTTATAAAACAAAGAAGCACGTGAAACGTTGATAATCACAGACATGTAGCATAAAGAGTTAATTTATAACAGTTAGATTATTGGTAAATACTGATGTATATGAATGACTTAATTAGAAAAACCAATAACAACACGAGAAAAATGACAGGAAAAAAATGAGCAAAGCAGTGATTCTCCGATTAAATCAATCTACGCCCAATGTTAATTTCGCCCTTCATATCGCTTACACCTGTTCGCTGTTCTAATATATTCGCCCTAGTTGCGAAGGGCGAAAATGGCGAAAATTTAACTGCAGCGAACATTTCAAGGTATACAGTAAGACGTTTACAAGGAATTCGAGGCTCCAATCAGAAATAAAACTATGTATTTGAGTCTGATAAAGAGGACCTTCAGGTCCTTTATGAGAAAAACATATCAGTAAGTATAGAGCTTGAAGGAAAGAGAAAACAAGTTTCTGGCATTTTTCTCGCAGTTTTCTGCCACCTAACGCTGAAAAGCAAGTAAGACGCTAGCAGAATGTCAATCGTGAGTTGTCTCTCTTTGAACGCAGCCTAATCTTGTAACATTCATTGTACGTGCATAAAATAAATGAATCACAAATGTTTAACGCAAAAGTGAGATACAATTCAAGCAATAATATGAATGTTGAAAACATGTAAAAATCAACAACTGTGAAAGTATTAATCTACTAAGGAAGGCAATAAACACGCATGTAAGTCCACTGGAGATGCCATGTTATGAATAATAAACGTCATCAGTGTTGCGTTATGCCAGGAAGTTGTAAAATAATGAATTGTTTGTGTTTAACGGCCCATCGACAACTGTGGTCATTTAGGGCCATGTGGTGATTTGTTTATTTATTTATGTAAAATAGTGGAAATCTGGACCGAAATAACTATCTCCTTTTAAAATTGGTGCGGGTTATCTCCGTCCCATCAGCTTTTTTAAGTGAGATAGCGACTTTTTTCGGACTAGATATAAGAGTATTTAAGGTTTTCCCTCAGTGATATTGCTTCCCTCTGCATTTAAATGAACCCAAACCATGGAATGCAAACGCTCATTTCATTTCTCAATATGTGTGTCAACTCGAACATACATATAGTATAATATAGGAACTGTATCTACACTGTGCTACGATGTACTAGACACACGTACCGATGTACCAAGGAGAGAGAGATGATGACAGTCTTAAGCTAATGCTACATGAAGATGACGACCACCCTTTTCCATCGAACCTCCGACCCCAGTCCTGTCTCCTGCTTCTTTTCTTACTCCCCCCACCCCCACCCCCCTCTCTCTATCTCAATTAATACAATTCATTAATAACATATTTGTTTTCTTACCATCATGTGACAATTGTGTAGTATTATAATATTTGTCTGTATTACGGGAGAAGTCAATTAATAAGTTGGAAAAACTTACCGACTAATCCCTTTGTCAAAATGTTGTCAATAAAATATGTTTAAACTAAACATTGATATATATTTTATTAATAAAGTATCAGCCTTCCGTTATATACCAAAGTTTCAAAATTGTCTAATTAAAGCCTGAACAACGAAGCCATAAAACAGATGATTTTAATCAGATTGAATTAACGTGGATTCATGTTTACAGAGAACGAATTGGATGCAATTAGTTATTAACATGTAAATAAAACATTTTAACTCATGTAATAGTGACCGAACAAATGTATAAAAGTTAGGGAAGATACAAATCTTATTTTGATTATATGTTTTTTCTCTTAGTACCTTCTGTTAGAAGTCACGTGACTCCAATGTAGCGAACAGACGGGGAAATAGAAAATTCAATATATTTTCATTTCAACAAATTGTATTAACAGATGTGATAGTCAAATGGATTAGAAATAACAGGCAAGCCTATATATAAATTCTTTCCATGAGTGGCTCAACATTTGATCGATTATATATACCATGTAGTTACAACAATAATGATTAATTAATTTAAGGATACTTTGAAATGAATACTGTCTTAGCCGAGGGGACTATTGGTTTATATAATAGCTATATTTTCAATGATAGTATATCAGTTCTATCTTCTTGTAATATGATGTATATGTACATGTAACTGTTCTGTTTCACTGTGTTTTGAAAAAGGAGCGGATCGCTCCAAAAATTTGACAACCTAAACTTGTCCAAACTGTTGGAATTACTTCTTTGCCCCATATAATATTTTTAGTAATTCGTATCCTACGGACATATCTCCATCAGGATCCAGTGTTATATGGGATTTTACCGTCTTATTACTTCTTTGACCCATATATATATATATAAAGAGTAATACTAATTAAAGGTAAGGGGAGATAACTCCAACATGACAAACACAAAGGGGATAAACTCATAGGACATCACAATAACAATTGATACACAAAAAACTCACAATCATACATCCAACACACACACAATTATTTTCTTATTAAATAAAGCATAGTCACAGTCAGTATATCATATACACAGTAAGAGTAGACTTTGACCAAAAGTCAATGTGCATGTATGTGCACAGGTCATTGCTACTAATACTGTTTATGAGTAAAAAGTACAAATTTAAATAATGTGACAGAAAGGCAATATAATATTATGATTATTATATTGAACAGAAAATAAACAAGATATAACTTTCTGTTCAAAATTTTTGAAGTAGATATCTTGAGCTGGTAAGCAACCAGTTGTGTTTCCTGTCTAACGTGAACTGTGTAGAATTATACACTTACTTCGATAGTTAAAAACAAGGACGACATGCACGAACGAAGTGATTCAGTCACCTGTAACCTCTGTGGGTACACAGTGACCGATATGGATGCTTGAATTGGTCCAGTTTCTGAACTTGTCACCAATATAAACTGTTATACAGGAAACCTTGATAAACGAAGATCATTGTCCGGGCATTGGAAAACAAAAATAAAAACTGAAGAGTCTAAGTTCTAGGAAAAAGACCTATAAAGTCACAAATTTACGAGCATCCCTGATACACCTGGTGAGGCGAGTTATGTTTTTAATCCACTGATAGCAGTTCTTGGTGTCAGCAATGGTATCTGAGTCGACAATATTAGGCAATAATGCATGTCAAGTTGTCATGTTATCGGTTTGTTTCTGAAAACAGATCGATGGTATCACGGTAGGAGGCACGGTTGCGGGTTCGCCCCAGCACGGCAATGTGTTGTATCCTTGAGCAAGATACTCCGCTTGTTCCAGTCTACTCAGCTGTAAATGAGTACGTGGTTGGGAAGTGCTAGAATTGTTGAATGCTAGCTGTTAGCGCCGAAATGGCAGCTCCGGCTGTATGCTCCCCAGGGAGTTGAGAAATGTATTGGCTGGTTGCAAAGGCCCTATAACCGCGGATAATAATTTGTGAACCGCTTTTAGACGACCTACGAACTAGGATGTGATAAAGCGGTATATAAGAACCCCCAATTATTATTTTATTATTATTATTATCAAATTTCTTCAATTGATGCAGTAGAAGAAGGATTTTATACCTTTATCCTTATGATCTCCCTAATGGGCCCGCCCCTCTGCCCTCAAGGAATTCCCACCCTCGGTTTATACAAAATTGAATTCTCCATGTCCAAGGATATTCTAGAAAAACATACGGATGCTTTATTTTCCGTGAAAAAGACTGAAGGCTCTTATTCGGAATTAGAGAAATTCATTAGATTGAAATAAGATATTCTGTTGTTGAATCAATCCTCAAAACGTCGACTTCATCATTGTAAATCATCTCACAAAACTCGAACAATAATACCCATTCTTTCTGGTAACGTCTTCGTGCACAAGGCTCCACCTCAACGAACGTTCCTCCTTTGGATCTGACACTGCTAGCACTAAAACAGTACAACGTAATAAATGGCTACCGGAACGAACAACCAACCCGAACAGGTGCTAGATC